TAATTAAATTGAATGAGATGTGCTTAAATTGAATGATTTGTGGTTACATTGAATGAGTTATGAATGAGAAGTGGTTAATTTGAATGAGTTGTTGGATCAATTGAATGAGTAGTGGGTAAATTGAATAAGTTGTAGTTAAATTCAAGGAGATGAGGTTAAATTGAATGAGTTGTGGTTAAATTGAATGGATTGTTCGTAAATTGAATGAGCTGTGGTTAAATTGAATGAGTTGCGGGGAAATTGAATGATTTGTGGTTAAATTGAATGATCTGTGGTTAAATTGAATGAGTTCTGGTTAAATTGAAAGATTTGTGGTTAAATTAAATGATTTGATGTTAAATTGAATGATTTGTGGTTAAATTGAATGAGTTACGCTTAAATTTAATAATTTGTGGTTAAATTGAAAGAGCTTTGGTTAAATTGAATGAGTTGTTGGTAAATTGAAGGAGCTGTGGTTAAATTGAACGAGTTGTGGTTAAATTCAAGAGTATATGATTAAATTGAATGAGTTGTGGATAAATTGGATTACTGTAGTTAAAATGGATCAGCTGTAATTAAATTGAATGAGATGTGCTTAAATTGAATGATTTGTGCTTAAATTGAATGATTTGTCGTTACATTGAATGAGTTGTGGTTAAATTGAATGATCAGTGGTTAAATTGACTGAGTTCTGGTTAAATTGAATGAGTTGTGGTTAAATTGAATGAGTTGTGGTTAAATTGAATGAGGTGTGGTTAAATTGAATGAGTTGTGGTTAAATTAAATGAGTTGTAGTTAAATTAAATAAGTTGTTGTTAATTGAATGAGTTCTGGTTAAATTGAATGATCTGTGGTTAAATTAAATGAGTTATGGTTAAATTTAATGAGTTGTGTTTAAATTGAATGAGTTTGATTAAATTGAAGGAGATGTGGTTAAATTGAATGATTTGTGGATCATTTGAATGAGTTGTGGTAAAATTTAATAAGTTGTGGTTAAATTACATGAGTTGTGGGTAAATTGAAGGAGCTGTGGTTAAATCGAATGAATTGTGGTTAAATTGAATGAGTTTTAGTTAAATTGAAGGAGATGTGGTTAAATTGAATGAGTTGTGGATCAATTGAATGAGTTGTGGGTAAATTGAATAAGTTGTAGTTAAATTGAAGGATATGTGGTTAAATTGAATGAGTTGTGGTTAAATTGAATGAGTTGTTGGTAAAATGAATGAGCTGTGGTTAAATTGAATGAGTTGCGGGGAAATTGAATGATTTGTGGTTAAATTGAATGATCTGTGGTTAAATCGAATGATTTCTGGTTAAATTGAAAGATTTGTGGTTAAATTGAATGATTTGGTGTTAAATTGAATGATTTGTGGTTAAATTGAATGAGTTGTGCTTAAATTTAAAAATTTGTTGTTAAATTGAAGGATCTGTGGTTAAATTGAATAAGTTGTTGGTAAATGGAAGGCTCTGTGGTTAAATTGAACGAGTTGTGGTTAAATTGAAGAATATATGGTTAAATTGAATGAGTTTTGATAAATTGGATCAGCTGTAGTTAAAATGGATCAGCTGTAATTAAATTGAATGAGATGTGCTTAAATTGAATGATTTGTGGTTACATTGAATGAGTTCTGGTTAAATTGAATGAGTTGTGGTTAAATTGAATGAGTTGTGGTTAAATTGAATGAGTTGTTGGTAAATTGAATGAGTTGTGGTTAAATTGAATGAGTTGTCGTTAAATTAAATGAGATGGGGTTAAATTGAACGAGTTCTGGTTAAATTGAATGATCTGTGGTTAAATTAAATGAGTTCTGGTTAAATTGAATGAGTTGTGTTTAAATTGAATGAGTTTGGTTAAATTGAAGGAGATGTGGTTAAATTGAATGATTTGTGGTTAGATTGAATGACTTGTGGTTAAATTGAATGAGATGTGGTTAAATTTAATAAGTTGGGGTTAAATTGAATGAGTTTTGGGTTAATTGAAGGAGCTTTGGTTAAATCGAATGAATTGTGGTTAAATTGAATGAGTTTTGGTTAAATTGAATGAGATGTGGTTAAATTAAATGAGTTGTTGATCATTTGAATGAGTAGTGGGTAAATTGAATAAGTTGTAGTTAAATTGAAGGAGATTAGGTTAAATTGAATGAGTTGTGGTTAAATTGAATAAGTTGTTGGTAAATTGAATGAGCTGTGGTTAAATTGAATGAGTACATGGAAATTGAATGATTTGTGGTTAAATTGAATGAGTTGTGCTTAATATTAATAATTTGTGGTTAAATTGAAACAGCTGTGGTTAAATTGAATGAGTTGTGGGTAAATTGAAGGAGCTGTGGTTAAATTGAATGAGTTGTGGTTAAATTGAAGGAGATGTGGTTAAATTGAATGAGTTGTGGATAAATTGAATAAGTTGTGGTTAAATTTGGATAAGCTGTAGTTAAGATGGATCAGCTGTAATTAAATTGAATGAGATGTGCTTAAATTGAATGATTTGTGGTTAAATTAAATGAGTTGTGGTTAAATTGAATGAGTTGTGGTTAAATTGAATGAGTTGTTGTTAAAATGGATGAGCTGTAGTTAAGTTGGATCAGCTGTGGTTAAATTGAATGAGTTGTGGGTAAATTGAATGATTTGTTGTTAAATTGGATGAGCTGAAGTTAAGTTGGATCAGCTGTGGTTAAATTAAATGAGTTGTGGTTAAATTGAATGAGCTGTAGTTAAGTTGGATCAGCTGTGGTTAAATTGAATGAGTTGTGGTTAAATTGAATGAGTTGTTGTTAAAATGGATGAGCTGTAGTTAAGTTGGATCAGCTGTGGTTAAATTGAATGAGTTGTGGGTAAATTGAATGATTTGTTGTTAAATTGGATGAGCTGAAGTTAAGTTGGATCAGCTGTGGTTAAATTAAATGAGTTGTGGTTAAATTGAATGAGCTGTAGTTAAGTTGGATCAGCTGTGGTTAAATTGAATGAGTTGTGGGTAAATTGAATGATTTTTTGTTAAATTGGATGAGCTGTAGTTTATTTGGATCATCTGTGGTTAAATTTAATTATTTGTAGTTAAATTGAATGAGTTGTGGGTAAATTGAATGATTTGTTGTTAAATTGGATGAGCTGTAGTTAAGTTGGATCAGCTGTGGTTAAATTAAATGAATTGTGGGTAAATTGAAGGAGCTGTGCTTAAATTAAATAAGTTGTGATTAAATTGAATGATCTGTGGTTAAATTAAATGAGTTGTGGTTAAATTGAATGAACGGTGGTTAAATTAAGTGAGTTGCGTTTAAATTGAATTAGTTGTGCTTAAATTGAATGTCCCTGTTTTTTTTCTAGTAGACTCAAACACCCTTTTGTTATTTGACAGTAAAGAAATATTTCAAGGAATGGCTCCTCAAGATAAAACGTTTGAATTGTTCATATGACTGTACTGCGTTGCCATGGATACTGAAAACGCATCATCATTAAAAAAAAACATGTTTACCCTTCCATTTCAATACATGTTATACATAACTGGCGTGCGTGTCCTGATTGTGAGTCCGTTTAGTGGAATGATTGGGACTGCCATATAAGGGAATAAAATTAGCTTTCACTAAGGATTTAGTTCGCTTATGTGATATCCCCTAGTTTGATGTTCTGCATAATGAGAGGAAATATGAAATATGAAATGCTTTGAGACGTAAGATCCTTACGACTTGCATGCAGGAGAAAGTATTCATAAGAGAGGTAATTTTTTTTGCCATTACGTTATTTGTAACTATCGGGGGCAAAGTAAACATGTTGCTAGTGAAAAAACTGCTGTAAAAATCATTATTTGGAGTTTCGATTAAAATACTACTTCAAGGTCCTTTAAATAACAATGACTAATTTCATCAAAGTTGATGTGGGCAACTGGTGCGGAGGTAAACAAATGTAAAAAGGGGGGGGGGAGCAGCAAATGAGTGCGCATCATGCCGCGCAATGAGAGTGGAGCGGACGATATCTACTCGAGAATTGTTATAAAAGAATAACAGGATTAATAACCTTACAATGGAGCTTATAATGAAGAAGTACAAATGATTGGAAATTCAACTTTCAATTGTAATGATTTTGCTTTTTTTTTTTTTCAAACT